CGGTCCCTCCGTCAGCATCCAGACGGAGCTGGCTCTGCAGCAGCTGAAGGAGAACCACCAGAAGGAGATTCAGCAGCTTCAGATCCAGCTGGAGACTCAGGTACCTGCTGCTCTGCGAAGCAGAGCCCTGACCTCAGCAGAACCTTCAGCACCTGCTCCTCTTCCTCAGGGGAACTACTATGAGAGGCAGCTGGACATGATGAAGCAGAACATGGAGGTGGAGAGGAAGGACATCTCCCAGGCCTTCAAGGTGAGGAGGAGGAGCCTGCAGCTGCAGAGGTTCTGGTGCTGGTGGGTCCGACTGAGCTGTTGGTTCCTCCTCAGCTGGAGATCAGTGAGCTGGAGGAGCAGAAGGTCCAGCTGGAGCAGCAGGTGAAGCAGCTGAAGGAGACGGTGGCCAAACTGCAGGTCCAGGTCCAGCAGGGTGGAGGGAGGGGCGGCGAGGTGGAGCGCAGGTCCGGACCGACCCGTCTCCCATCGAGTTCTGCCGCCGACCCGTTCTAACCGTTCTCCCCTCCCAGGATGCAGCGGGAGCGCGCCGAGCTGGAGCAGAACTACGCCACAGAGATCAGCAACCTGGTCCAGAAGCTGAGCGGCGAGAAGGAGCAGCTGGAGGCGGAGCTAAAGCTCAGGATGGACCAGGAGCTGATGCGCGTCAGGTGGGTGGCAGGAGGTTCTGTCAGAACCACAACCAGGTTTTTATTGGACCCGAGGTAAGAAAGCAGCTCTGTGAGCAGGAAGGAGAGCCAGAATCGACAGGCCGAGGTTCGGCGCCGCCTCCTCCAGGAGAGGAAGAACCTGAAGGAGCAGCTCTGCAGCCTCCAGGAGGCCCAGGCTGGACTGGAGGAGGTTCTGGAAGCTTCCAGGACCAGGTGTTCGGACCTGGAGAACCGGCTGGAGGAGAGCATCATCTCCAGGGATTCTCTAGAGGTTCTGAAAAGACGTCTGGTCTCTGAGAGGAGCTGCATGCAGGAGGAGCTGCAGCAAGTGAGGGAGGAGGGGGCGGAGCTCCAGCTTCAGGTGGAGCGTCTGAGGGCGGAGCTTAGAGAGCGAAGCTCCTCCCCCACCCTGCAGACAGTCGCCTTCCTCAGGGCTGAGCTGGAGAAGCTTCAGGAGGTTCTGAGGAGCAGAACGGAGTCCATTTCCAGACTGACGGCTGAACTGGACTCCCTAAAGACGGACCGGGACCGGCTGACCCAGGAACGGGACCGGCTGACCCAGGAACGGTACCGGCTGACCCAGGACCTGAAAGAGCAGGCCGTGGTCGTGGACACACTGCAGCTCCAGCTGGACCAGAGGAGGAGCACTGAGGCTGCACTGCAGGAGGAGCAGAACCGGGCCTCACATCTCCGGTCCAGTCTGCTGGAGGAGCAGGAGGAGGTGAGCCGCCTGAACCAGGAGAACAGAACCTACATGCGTCTGGTGGACCAGCTGTCTGCTCAGATCGTGGAGATGGAGGAGGAGATCTCCTCCCTGAGGGAGCACCTCCGAGGCCTCAGCCAACAGCTCAACGGCACCGCCGACCTGGTTCTGGACCTGCGCCGCCAGCTCAACTCCAGAACCAGCCAGGCGGAGAGGCTGCGGGTGGAGGCTGCAGACGGGACCTCGGAGCAGGTGGTGCTTCTGCAGCGGGCCCTGCAGAACTCTCAGAACCAGCTGAGCAGCACCAAGGAGGACTTTGAGCGCCAGAAGGGGAGGCTGGCCCAGCAGCTGATGGAGCTGGAGAACCTGGTTCTGGACCTGGAGGACGGGTCCGAGGCGGCCGGTCCTCACAGGTTTGTGAGGCGGACCCAGACACTCGCCGAACCGGCCAATCAGAATCATCATCTCTAACTGAATGAACTAATCGCAGCGCAGCATCTCTAACTGAATGAACCAATCGCAGCGCAGCATCTCTAACTGTATGAACCAATCAGAGCGCAGCATCTCTAACTGAATGAACAAATCAGAGCGCAGCATCTCCAATCACAGCGCAGCATCTCTAACTGAATGAACCAATCAGAGCGCAGCATCTCTAACAGAATGAACCAATCAGAGCGCAGCATCTCTAACAGAATGAACCAATCAGAGCGCAGCATCTCCAATCACAGCGCAGCATCTCTAACTGAATGAACCAATCAGAGCGCAGCATCTCCAATCACAGCGCAGCATCTCTAACAGAATGAACCAATCAGAGCGCAGCATCTCCAATCACAGCGCAGCATCTCTAACTGAATGAACCAATCAGAGCGCAGCATCTCTAACTGAATGAACCAATCAGAGCGCAGCATCTCTAACTGAATGAACCAATCAGAGCGCAGCATCTCTAACAGAATGAACCAATCAGAGCGCAGCATCTCTAACTGAATGAACCAATCAGAGCTCAACATCTCTAACAGAATGAACCAATCACAGCGCAGCATCTCTAACTGTATGAACCAATCAGAGCGCAGCATCTCTAACTGAACCAATCGCAGCACAGCATCTCTAACTGTATGAACCAATCAGAATGCAGCATCTCTAACTGAATGAACCAATCAGAGCTCAACATCTCTAACAGAATGAACCAATCACAGCGTAGCATCTCTAACCGTATGAACCAATCAGAGCGCAGCATCTCTAACCGTATGAACCAATCAGAGCGCAGCATCTCTAACTGAATGAACCAATCAGAGCTCAACATCTCTTCCATTCCCCCTGCATGAACCCGGTTCTGTTCTAACAGCCTGACCTCCTGTAGCTCCGTCCGCCTCTGCATGTGAATCACTAATCCTGACATCTGATCATCCAGAACCAGGGTTCTGATTCTGGTTCAGTCCGGTCTGTATGGGTTTTTCTCCTACAGGACTCAGCTGGAGGAGGTCCGATCGGAAAACGCAGCTCTGCAGGAACGGCTGAAGGTTCTGCAGCAGGAGGTCCAGAACCTGGAGGACGAGGCTGAGAAGAAAAGGTGAGTCCGGCTGCGGGTCAAAACCTGTTCTGCTGACGTTTCTCTGAAGGAGCCTGAACCAGACTCTGGTGTTCTCCTTGCAGGAGGAGGCTGCAGGAGGTGGAGCTGGACCGGGAGCGGAGCAGAGAGGAGGAGGAGCGTCTGCACAGAGAGGTCCGGTTCTGCAGCAGACCTTCAGGGTTTAACTGAAGCACAGCGGCAGCTAGCTGTAGCTAACCAGGATTAACTGGGCCCAGTAGAACCATCAGAACTCAGACCGTGGTCCAGCTGCTTCATGACTCACAGCCTCATAAACAGCAGCACCAGTTGAGCTGGAGCTGCTTCAGAGAAGCATAGCGTGGTTCTGCTTTAGTTGGACCTCACAGCAGCCTTTGACCCAGAGAACTTTCTGGGCTCCATCCGGGTCCAGATGATCAGTCTGTTCCTCAGAAAATATTCCGCTTGGTTTTAGGGTTCCTGTTTGGACCTGATCTCCATAGAAGGAAGTAGTTTCACAGTGGAGGCCTAGTTTTCAAAATAAAAGCCCTGTCAGTTGAATGGTTCCTGAACAGAAGATTCCACCTGGAATCATCTTCTAGAAAGTTCTGATTCTGCTTGGTGTTCGTCCAGATGAACTTCCAGACACCTGACCCGTTTTTACTCCTGCAGAACTCCAGCTACCGGGAGGAGGTTCTGGAGCTGAGCAGCAGGAACCTGCAGCTCAGCAGCGAGAACGGTGAGCTCAGCAGCCGTCTCCATGGAGAGCAGGAGTCTGTCCGGATGCTGCAGGAGCGCCTGGCAACGGTTACTAAGAAGCAAGAGGAGGAGGGAGCTGCAGTAAGTCAGACCGGTTCCGTTTGGACCGAGTTCAGAACCAGAAATGTTGGAGCTGACGGGTGGATGGTTTCAGGTGCAGCAGCTGCAGGAGGAGCTGATCTCCTTCAGGGAGAAGGTAAGGATCCGTCTGTTGGTCCGTTTCTTCAGCCGCTGGTTCTGTTCACTGACCTGCTGGCTGCTCCTCAGCTGGGCAGCCAATCACAGCAGGAGGCGGAGCTTAGAGGGCTGATGATGAAGCTGCAGAAGGTGGAGCAGGAGAAGCAGGAGCTGCAGAGGGAAACGGAGAACCGGAACCAACAGGTCAGAACCGAACCATCTGGTCCAAACGGCTCCCCCTGCAGGTCCTAGAGTGTAGTCACATCTCTGCTGGTTCTGCTGCAGGTGGAGCAGCTGCAGCAGCAGGTGGTGTCTCTGCAGGCGGAGGCAGAGCTGCTGCGCTCCCAGCTGCTCGCCTCCACCCAGGACAAACTAGGCCACGCCCAGGAGGTGACCCAGCTCCACAGGAAGCTGCGTGAGGCGCTCAGTAAGGTGAGCTCACCTGACGCCGCCCCACCCTGCCTGGCTCTGACCGGGTTCTGATCAGGTTCTGATGGTGCAGGTGGAGGAGATGCAAGCAGACGTCAGGAGGCTGATGGAGGAGAAGGAGGAGCTTCAGCAGAACCTCCAAGATGAGACCCGGAGACTCCTGGTCCAGAACCAGGAGCTCCGACAGCAGGTACCTCACAGGGCAGGTGATGGCTGAGTGGGCGGAGCTTCTCCACCCAATCAGCCGCTTCCTTAGAAACGTTTTAGCGGTCAGAACAAAAATGGCCTGAATTGTTGTGATCAGCTGGCTGGTCTGCAGGTCCAGGAAGTTCAGCAGCAGCAGAAGCTCAGGTCCAGATTAGAAGCGGCGACGGCTCGGGCGCACGCCCAGGACCAGGTCAGGATCCGGGTCAGAACCACGATCCAGAAGGACCGGGGAGGGTTTCAGTCCATCTGTTCTGTTTGGTTAGGACTGATCAGAACCGTGTTCTGGTTCCAGGAGAAGGAGCAGCAGCTGGAGGACGAGGTGAAGCTGAGGAGAACCCAGCTCAGCATGAAGCAGGTGGGTTCAGAACCACCCGGCGGTCCACCTCAGCAGGTTCTGCTTCTGACCTCTGCGCTGCTTTCAGGAACAGTTCGACAAGGCCACGGCGGCGCTGCAGCGGCGGGCGGACCAGCTGGAGGTCCAGCTGAAGGCTCTGCGTCTGGTTCTGCAGGACAAGGTCCAGGAGCTGAAGGAGCAGGTGAGTCTGATTCTGCGGGCCTCAAACCGCCGGACTCCTCCGACGTTCTACCGACCTGCTTTCTCCTTCAGGTGGAGAAGAACGTCCAGAGCAGCGGCCTGCTGAAGGACCTGTACCTGGAGAACGCCCAGCTGATGAAGGCGCTGCAGGTGACCGAGCGCCGCCAGAAGCAGGCGGAGAAGAAGAACCGCACGCTGGAGGATAAGGTCGGCGCTCTGAACCAGCTGCTGAAGGAAGTGGTGGCCACCGTCCTCTCCACCTGAGGGCGCCGGCCAATCAGGATGGGCGGGTTCTGCTGCCCGACCCAAACCAGCCTTATTGTTTGTAGAAAATCTGATTATTTCTAATAAAACTTTTTAATTAAATGATTCTTTACTCACTGCAGCTAAAATGATTTTACAGAAGATGCTTTAGAACCGGGCCAGGAGCAGCTGGTGGGCGTGGCCTCCACCTGGACAGGTGCAGATCTCCTTCCTGTTTATGTTCATCCAGTCTCAGCAGCTGAGGTGATGCGTTCAAGTTTTGTAGGAACATTGAGAACTAACAGGTCTACATTATTTCTGGAAGCTGATTGGATAATTTAATCTGTTTAATGACCAGGGGCGGACTTAGGAAATGTGGGGCCCTAGGCAGACAGGCAGGGGCCCCTCTGAACAGCCCCATTCTCCAGATAGAGAAATGTTAATAGAATAGACATCCATTATCTGTTCTAGGTTGTGTCCCTCTCTTCTTGTCCCTTTTCTTCTTGTTTTCCTCTCTATGTTTTGTACTCAGCTGACTTTTCATGCTGTCTCTAAAGGAATGAAAGATTTTTTCCAAGCACTAAGCTCACTTAGCTGATTGCTCCTTCCTGTGTTTCCAAAAAGGCCAAAGTAAATAACCCAGTCCTTCTTTTCACTGTAGACAAGCCATGATCTGCTTATCTGTTCTCCATTTTTCATTTGGATGAAACAATAGCTGCATGAATCATGACAGCAGACAAGATAGAGGAGAGCAGGAGGCGGGGTTACCAATCTACTTGCTCTGGAGAGCAGAGTTCGCTGCTTTTAGATGTTGTCTCCAAAGTCTCCAGTAGCAGAAAAAAGTCTCTAGATTTGCGCTAGGAGCTTTGAAAGTTTGAACCAGGAAGAGGAACTATCTGAAATCTGCCTGGTAACAGCCGTTAACAGACCACCACTGACACAAAAGTTAGGAAAAAAAACAGAACAAGCTTTATTGTAAAACCACAGATAACATGGCCACCGATGCATTCCTGGAACGTCGCCATCATGTTCATCAGGACATCACATGTTCCAGAACGCCCTGGCGAATCAGCTGTTCACATTTCCACCGTGGTAGAAAGTGCTGGAAACAAAAACATCAAACAGGTAGAATGTGAGCGACGAGCTGGTGATCAATCAGACCAGCATACCTATAGTATCCCTTTATTTTTGTATAAAAAATTGACTTTAAACTACCTCGGTGCTCGTCTGTCCCTTTAGTCGTGTATAAAAGAAAAACTATCAAGCTCAGATCGCCATACTCTTCAAAAAACCAAAAAGGTAGTAATTAAATGTTTTATGTACATGACTAAAGGGATACACGCCCCTTGAGGTAGTTTAAAGTTTATTTTTCATTCAAAACTAAAGGGATAAACACAAACCTGACATCATGCACGTGAGTATTGACTATAGGTATGCTGGCCTGATGGGGTATGCAGGTCTGAAGGTGTATGCTGGCCTGATGGGGTATGCTGGTCTGACAGAACACCGGGTCCAAAGCACCTGGGCTGGATCTACCTCCAGCATCAGCTTCAGTTCTACTGGCTTTGAGCAGCTGTAGCCCCAGTATTTCCAGTTAAGTCCCATAACAAAGAAAGAGGTGGAGAGCAGATGGACAGCAGGCCCACCGTCCCCAGATATGTCCTACATTACTACCCTGAGGACTACCATGATCCCGGGCCTCCTGTTGCTAACGTAGCATGGATGTAAACCAGGTGTTAGCATCATGGACGTTAGCTCCATAACATCTAGAACTAAAACAGCAACATTCTAGATTCAGATGAACTCTGGTTTATCACAGCTAGCATGATGTAAAGGTTCTCATGCTGTAGCTCAATGAATAAAAACACTACGATGCTAACCTAGCATGTTAGGTTAACTCTCTACTTTATACATGCTCCCAATCGATAGAATTATTAGACAGCACGGGATAAATTTCCACTGTAATGCTGATGATACTCAGCTATATCTGTCTATAATCCAGATGAAGCTAACCCATTATATAGATTACAGGCATGTCTGAAGACATAAAAACCTGGATGACTCTTAACTTTCTGCTCCTGAATGCAGACAAAACAGAAGTTATAGTCTTTGGACCAGAGTCTCTGAAACAGAAGCTGATTAGTCAGTCACTTCATTTGGATGGGATTAAACTGATTTCAGGTAATAAAGTAAAAAATCTTGGTGTTGTTTTTGATCAGGACCTGTCATTTAAATCCCAGATAAAAGAGGTTTCTAGAATTTCCTCCTTTCATCTGAGGAATATTGCAAAAATGAGAAATATCCTGTCCAGGGGTGATGCTGAGAAACTAGTCCATGCATTTGTTACTTCAAGGCTGGACTATTGTAATTCTTTACTATCAGGAAGTCCACAAGCTGTAGTTAAAAGCCTTCAGCTGATCCAAAATGCTGCAGCCAGAGTTCTGATGAAAATGAAAAAGAGAGATCATATCTCTAATGTTAGTCTACAGACTAAACTATAGGATCCATCGGCTATAGATGGATTTATTGCTTAGTTCATCCACTGACTGGGAAATTACCTGAGGAACGTCTTCCTGCAGACAGAAAACTGTTGGTTTTAGCAGCTAAATGCTAAACAGGAAGGCATTTGCACGTCTCTGTGGGAGTGGGGAGTACCAATATGGCGGACGGCAGCTTCACTTTTCTAATCAGCAATCCAGTGAATAAATAGACATGAGTGGGGGTGGCCACAGCCACCCTGTGCAATGCTCTGGCCTCCTAGCATCAGTTTAGCATTTCTTCCCATTCTGCACAGCCAGCGAGGTAACACCCTGGATACAGCTCTAATGGTCGACTCCAGGAAAGGTGACGGAACAGGAAGTAGCAGCTAGTCAGACTCCAGGAGCTGTATGCTAAAGGATAACATTGGCGCTACATTGCTAATGTTAGCATTGCATTAATGTCTCTATAACGGCTAATGGAACAACAGTGTTATGATGCTGAAGTCTGGATTACTTTAGAAACTGTTCACTAGCAGATAATGCTATGCTAACATTAGCATTACTGTAGCATCAGAAAGCTAACGGCTAAAAAACATCCAGTTCTCACCTGGCTGTTCTTCTTCAGGAGGATCACCGTTCCATCATCAATCTCAAACTCTCCATGATCCTTCAAGCACCTCACCTGGACACACATGATGATGTCAGCAGGCTGGGCCAGGCTGCAGGTCAAAGGTCAGACGGAAATGACTCACCTGGATGTAGAGGCTCTTTGGAGGCTTCATGTCCTGCGTGATGTCCAGACCTTCCTCTCCACCGATGGAGCGCATGAAGGAGGCCAGAGACTTTTTATACTGACCGAACCACTGCACCTGAACACAACACAGCTGTTCTCACATGTCCATATCAGCAGGGGGAAACCTGAAACAGGAAGTGAGGTCACTGACCTCCTCTGCAGACATGTGAAAGCGTACGTTGGCGGGCAACACACTGCCGTACTCCCAGCGCAGCGCTCTGATCCTCAGCAGCCGGTCGTACCTGGAAACAGCAGGAGAAAGGTGAGCAAGAGCGGCCGCGTGGCTGCAGGCGGAGCCGGTCACGTGACTGTGGGCGGAGTTACAGGTAGGCCACGATGCAGCGCTGGTTCCTCAGCAGGCAGCTGTGACGCAGCTTGATGGAGGGGATGAGGTCGGCGCGGCCCACGGTCTTCGCTTCATTCCTGGAAAAGATCAGAACCCATCAGCAGACGACCCGATTCTGGTTCAGTCGACTCCGGTTCCTCTTCTAAATGTTTAGAATCCAGCAGAGGTCATCCATTCTATTCAGTTTACTTCTATAGCTCCAATTCACATCATGTCATCTCAGGTCACTTTCCAGTTCACCAGATCATCCAGTCAGATTGATTCAAAGTTTTCTATCTAAGGAAAACCAGCTGATTGCATCGACTCATTGACTCTTCAGCAATCCCTCACACTAAGCATGCTTGTAGCGACAGTGGAGAGGAAAAACTCCCTTTGAACAGGAAGAAACCTCAAGCGGAACCACAACCAGATTAATGTGAGATCAATAGGGCCCCAAGTTCCTGGGGGCCCCATAAAACTATTTCCACGTATGGTTAATACAACTATTCCTTTTTTGTGCACATTAATGATGTTTTTAATAAAAATTATTTCACTAAAATGCCATCAGAACTAATAATGTTCAGAACCTTAACCCCACATTGTTCCCTCAGGGGATGGGATAAATGCAGAGAGAATGTCTCCAATGTGAGATCAATAAAATTCAATTAAAAAAATTAACCAGGGTGAAGTTTATCATCTGCTGGGTTCCCAGGAACCTTTGAAGAGGAACAGAACCTGCAGAAGTTCCAGTGTGTCTGAACTTACACATCAGCCTGGTTCTGCTCATATAGAGCCTCCATCTCCTGCAGAACCTGCCTCAGACCGTCCTCCTGAAAACACACACAGAACCTTAGAACCGGACCCGAACCATCGGAACCGGAAAGTTTCAGCGGCTCCATGCTGCTGTTCTGAGCTTTTCAGCTGCAGAACTGTATTAGCTCTAAAACAGACATAAAAATAAAAAACTTAAACTGTTGATCTAAGCCGAGAGGTAGATTAGAGGGAATATTGTCTGAAAACATTGTTTCTATCATCTTTAGGCTTAGATCAGCGGCCGAACACTAAAAGTAGAAATTTGTTAACGGAGTTTGGCCTCCGGAGCAGCGCTGCCAGCAGCTGGAATACTGACGTTAAAAGCGGGCAGCTGTCCGTCAGTCATCCGGTGCAGCTCCCGGATCAGCTCGATGGCTTTCTCACAGAACATCCTGACGGAGCAGCGACGGACCGAACTGGAGCTGAACTGGAGCCGTCAGACGCCGGAGGATCCTGCCTGATCGGCGGCGGAGGAGCAGCTTCGCGGTAAAATGGTTTGTTGTGATCATGTGACCCAGTGACGTATGACTCCGGAAGCCGCAGTGGGACAAACAGACAGCGATGCGGTGAAACAAACCGATCAGTTTACCGGGTGAGACAATTGAATATTGTTGATTAATTAATCCGATGATTAATCATCGGATTAATTAATCATGTGATTGTTTTTCATCAGTTCAACTCCGCAGCGCAGCCGTTTAACCTGCCTAGGTACTTCCGGTTCACTGCAGACTGGATTCATCCCGAAATCTGGAGTTTTTGCTCTTTTTTTAGATCAAATCTCTTCAGCCTCAGACCGAACCAGAACCAGAACCAACAGGTCCAGATTTAATGGGTTTAAAATGTTTTATTGTTTTGTTTTTTGAAAATGGCGGAACTGATCAGCAGCATGAGCTCTACTGGGTCGCTAAAACTGAAGCCACCTGCCGCCATCTTGGTACTCCCCTCTCCCACAGAGACTGTGCAGCATTTGGCTGCAGGAAGTTGTTCCACAGTCAGTGGATGGAAAACACTGAATATACTGTAGCATTATCAACAGACATTGACTGGTTATTCTGTCTTTATGTCAAATCTGGAAATTATATAAATTTATATGCTCTAATTACCATAGAAATGTGATGAATACATGTAGATTACATGTTTAATCACTTTTTCCTCATCATCAGACAGGGAGATTGATCTATTGATTGACTGATTGACTTTATTGATCCTACAGTGGATAAATGAATTGTTCCATCAACTCAAATAGTCACAGAAGAAGAAGAACAAGGTGTATGAATATATGTGATTTAGGAGGAACAGGCCTGAGCCGCCATGTTGGATGGTAGCTCTCCTTCATCCTGCCATCCAGGGCAAACCCCCTGACTACGTTGCTGTGGGAACATTAATCAGAATCAGACATACTTTAATAATCCCAGAGGGAAATTACTTTTGTTACACGCTCCAGATATACAAACATTTTCATATATATACACAATCCTCACAAAATTTTATATATCAGTAATGACCTTAAAGGTGATTCTGATTTGGCTGGGATAATAAAGTAAGATATCCGTGTATTTCAGTTTTTATTAAAATAATATCCTCCAAAAGGAAAATAATGATAAAAATAATAATATTAATAAATCTGTTTGAAACATTTTCGCTAAAATTTCCAGACTACACTGAACGCAGCGCCGCGTTTGTTTTGGAAGCCGGTGCTCCGAGGTTTCCTAAGAGACCGTGAAGGCAGCGCCACTCTGGTCACGTGCTGTGTTCCCTGCCTCCTGATTGGCTGCGGCAGCCTCGCTTCAGATCAGCTGCGCTCTGCGGATGTCAGTGCGGCTCCAGCGGGACTCGGCTCGATCCTCTCCGCCTCTCAACTCTCAGCGCTCCCGCTCCGGCCACAGCCCGTCTCCTCTCTGCGGACCGGCGGTGGTTCGGTCTCCTTCCTGCCGCTAACAGCTGCTTCTTTTTGAGCCTTCAGTGATGCGAAGGCGGAGCTCCCTGAGCGCGGAGAAGGACAGCGACCCGGAGCTGAAGCAGCGCCCCGGCAGAGCGGCGCCCGGCGGCGGACAGGGCCTGGAGGAAGACCCGAGGATGAGGAAGAGAGCCTTCAGAAGGTGAGGAAGAGGAGGACAGGTGTGCTGGAGCTTTTCTGCTCCAGTCAAACTGATGATGATGATGACGATGTTGATGTGATGAAGGTTAAAGGTGAAGTTCTGGAGCAGAACCTCAGAGGACTGATCTGGACCGACCGGTCCGACCGGTGCCACCAGCAGGAGCCGGTGGAACCGGAAGCTTCTGGTCAGGCTGGTTCTGGAGGTCCAGTAGGACCAGGCCTGATGTCTGGAGGAGGTGTCCTCCTCATCTCTGAGGTTCTGCTGGAACATCTGGGCTCTGAAGGAGAACACAGCTTGGTTCTGCTGCTGGAAGGTCAGACAGCGGTTTGGACTATGATTGGTTGGATTCTGGATCAGAACATCTACAGAGTTTGAAGATCTGGAAAAGGTCTTCGTCCCTGAGCCGGTTCACCATGAGACCAGCGGCTGGTTCTGTCCAAACGGGTCTGTGAGTGAGGTAAGTGGATCAGCAGGAGATCAGAGAAGTTAATCCTCCTCTGTCTGATCCGCTGAGGTTTGACCGACCCTGGAATGACCCGACCCGGTTCCTCTTCCTGATCCTCTCACCTCCTTAAAACCTGGTTCTAAATATAGTGACTGGGCAGAGGAACCGAGAGCAGATCCGCTGACCTCACCCTGACAGGAAGTGACCTCAGAGCAGAGCAGGAGGTCACGGATGTCGGGTCAGAACCAGAACTGAAAGCAGAAGTCTGGACTCTGACTCAGCGTCTCAGATCAGGTCACGTGACCCAGAATGCAGCTCTTTGTTCTGAGTTGGCCGCAGACCGAGCTGAACGGGTCACTGATTTCCTGTCCGCCGCATCATTTCCTGTCTGCCGTACATCACTTCCTGTCCACTGCATCATTTCCTGTCAGCACATAATTTCCTTACTGACGCATGACTTCCTGCCAGAGTGGCATCACTTCCTGCCAGAGTCGCATCACTTCCTGCCAGAGTGGCATCACTTCCTGCCAGAGTCGCATCCCTTCCTGCCAGAGTGGCATCACTTCCTTTCAGAGTCGCATCACTTCCTGGTTGGGGTCTGTCACTACCTGATCTTTGACCTCTGATGTTCAGGCTTTGGTTCTGAAGAGGTCCAGATCAGGATTTCATTACAAGGATCCAAAACCAGGCTTTACTGCTGGTTCTGGATCCTGGCTCCGCCCACTTAAAGGACCAATCAGAGCCCGGAGGACAAGATCAGAACCCTGGATTCTGGGGAGAGACCCGGCCCAGTTTGGTTTCCATCAGAACCACTGATCAGAGTTTAAACGGGTCACAGCCGACCCAGTTCTGGTTCTGATTCTTTGAGCCCAGAAGGTTCAGCTGATGGTGGTTCTGACCCAGTTAAATAGTCAGAATCTTTTGGATCAAACCAGGTCCTCCATCATATTGTAGCCTGTCTCCTGGTTCTGGAGAACCTCCAGGACCCGGTCCAATCGGATCCAACACAGGAATCACTCTGGGTGATTCTGAAGAATCCGGACCTGATGGTTCTGTTTAGCTGCTGTAGGGCACACTGCAGACTCAGAACCATGAGTCCATCAGCGGGTTCTGGACCGGGTTTCAGACCCGTTAACCTGCGGTCCAGCAGCTTCCAGCCCAGCAGAATCAGAACCAGCCTGCTGGGACGGGTCCGTTTATCCTCCTCATTGTTCTGTCAGCAGTGGAACCGGTTCTGCCGCACTGAGGAGAACACATGACTAATTCAGCTGCTCAGCGGGTCGGGTTACCGGGCCGGGTCGGGCCGGCTCCTCTTACTCAGCAAGAAGAGAACGAGAATAGAAATAGAGTAGAATAGATTACATTAGGATAGGATAGAAATAGAGTAGAACAGATTAGAGTGGATTGGGGTTTATGGGTTCAGCTGCATTGGAGAATCTAAAAAATTAAGATCTAGACTGAGGAGCAAAAATATTATGCTATTGTACATAACTGTAAAAACCCTTTTTATAGTAATATCCACCTGTATATTATATTTACTTCATATCCAGCTGTAAATTTAGTTCATAACACTAGTGATCTAAATATTATATTCATTATTTATAATATTATTCATCTCCATATTTATTCAGTAGAACCCATGTCCCGTATTTATAGAACCATTATTTATCCTGCACTGCTGGTTAGACCTAAACTGCATTTCACTGCCTTGAACCTAAACCTGTGTAATGACGAGGAAGAAACTGAACTGTTAGATTAGAAACTCCTTTAGGTAGATATAAAGCAGCTAGACGTACGGCAGGTAGACGTACGGTTCTAGAAGCTTTTATCAAATATATAATTAATGTGAGTAAGTAAGGAATAGTTTTATTAACCAAACATGGAAACAGAGTTTTATGGGGCCCCCAGGAACTCGGGGGGGGCAGGAACTTGTGGCCCTCAGTAACTGTCTAGTATTGCCTGATGGTAAATCCCCCCCCTGCTCGGCTCTAATGGTTCGGTCCGAAGGAAGAGGTCAGAGTTCAGAAGGTCCTGATCTACTGAGGCCTTCCAGAACCGTGAGCGCGCTCAGACCGGGTCGGTTCCGGTGTCACCAGGTCTACCAGAACCATCTGACCCGGTTGTTTGTTCTCAGGTCGGGTCTGCTGGGGAAGATGAAGAAGATGATGATGATGCTTCTGCTGGTCTACGTCGCCATCCCCTTCATCATCAAGATCTTCCCCTCCATCCAGGCCAAGCTGGTCTTCCTCAACTTTGGTAAGTTTCAGTCGGACCCGCGGTTCCGGGTCAGAGCTCTGATTGGCTGCGTCCCAATTAGAAACGGGTTCTGTGTCTCTATTGGCTCCTCTCAGAGTGATGTCACTCTATCCTGTGATTGGTTCTGCCTCAGCTGAGCAGAATTTATCTGAATATTCAGGCTTTTATTTTCTAACTTCCTGTCCAAACCGTGCTTCCATATTTCCATCAATCAAACTGACCAATGAGGAGAAGTCATGTGACCTGTGTGTGTTTTCTGTCCCAGTGAAGATGCCGTACTTCATCGACCTGAAGCGACCGTTGGATCAGGGACTGAACCACACACACAACTTCTACCTGGAGCCTGAGGCGGGCCAGAAGATCGGAGTCTGGTAGGAACCCGGAAAGTTCTGCTGCTGCTGCAGCCGGACTAGTTCTGTAGAATGTTTGGGTCGTCGTCTTTGATGAAGATCCAGAAGTCTTCCTCAGAGATGTAGAACCTGATCAGATAGAAGCACCTCTGATGCTGAGCTTCATTCTGGACCAGGAGGAACGGATCAGAACCTGCAGCTGGGTTCTGTCTCCCTCTCAGGGTTTGGATTCCCCTTTGCTAACATTGAGGAGCCTCTGATGAAGAACCGGTTCTGATGAACTCATTCCCAACAGTCCATCCGTCCGGTTCTGACTCCTGATCCAGAGCTATCCTGCTAGAAGCAGCTACAACGGGAGCCGTTCTGTTCATGGACCCTGGATGTGGGTTCCTTATTGGACCAGTCGGTTCTGTTAGCGCTTCTGAAAGGAAACAGATATCCTGCTTTGGATGAACAGATATGGAAGTTCTAGACTGGTTCCCAGAGGCGGGTCAGATATCATCTAGGTTCTGTAGGAATGTTCCATAGAGCCAGAGGAACATTCCATAGAGCCAGAGGAACATTCCATAGAGCTAGAGAAACGTTCCGTAGAGCCAGAAGAACGTTCCATAGAGCTAGAGAAACGTTCCGTAGAGCCAGAGGAACGTTCCGTAGAGCCAGAGGAACGTTCCATAGAGCTAGAGGAACGTTCCGTAGAGCCAGAGAAACGTTCCACAGAGCCAGAGAAACGTTCCATAGAGCAGAGCTAGAGGAACGTTCCATAGAGCCAGAGCGTTCCATAGAGCCAGAGGAACGTTCCATAGAGCCAGAGGAACGTTCCATAGAGCCAGAGGAACGTTCCATAGAGCCAGAGCGTTCCATAGAGCCAGAGGAACGTTCCATAGAGCCAGAGAAACGTTCCATAGAGCCAGAGAAACGAACGTTCCATAGAGCCAGAGGAACGTTCTGTACAGCCAGAGGAACGTTCCATAGAGCCAGAGGAACGTTCCATAGAGCAGAGCTAGAGGAATGTTCCATAGAGCCAGAGGAACATTCCATAGAGCCAGAGCGTTCCATAGAGCCAGAGAAACATTCCATAGAGCCAGAGAAACGTTCCATAGAGCCAGAGAAACGTTCCATAGAGCCAGAGGAACGTTCCGTACAGCCAGAGAAACGTTCCATAGAGCCAGAGGAACGTTCCATAGAGCAGAGCTAGAGGAATGTTCCATAGAGTCAGAGGAACGTTCCATAGAGCCAGAGGAACGTTCCATAGAGCCAGAGAAATGTTCCATAGAGCCAGAGGAACGTTTCATAGAGCCAGAGAAATGTTCCATAGAGCCAGAGGAACGTTTCATAGAGCCAGAGGAACGTTTCATAGAGCCAGAGGAACGTTCCATAGAGCCAGAGAAACGTTCCATAGAGCCAGAGAAACGTTCCATAGAGCCAGAGGAACGTTCCATAGAGCCAGAGAAACGTTCCATAGAGCCAGAGAAATGTTCCATAGAGCCAGAGGAACGTTTCATAGAGCCAGAGGAACGTTTCATAGAGCCAGAGGAACGTTTCATAGAGCCAGAGGAACGTTCCATAGAGCCAGAGGAACGTTCCATAGAGCCAGAGAAACGTTCCATAGAGCCAGAGAAACGTTCCATAGAGCCAGAGGAACGTTCCGTACAGCCAGAGGAACGTTCCATAGAGCCAGAGGAACGTTCCATAGAGCCAGAGGAACATTCCATAGAGCCAGAGGAACATTCCATAGAGCCAGAGAAACGTTCCATAGAGCCAGAGGAACGTTCCATAGAGCCAGAGGAACATTCCATAGAGCCAGAGAAACGTTCCATAGAGCCAGAGAAACGTTCCATAGAGCAGAGCCAGAGAAACGTTCCATAGAGCCAGAGGAACGTTCCATAGAGCCAGAGAAACGTTCCATAGAGCCAGAGAAACGTTCCATAGAGCCAGAGGAACGTTCCGTAGAGCCAGAGGAACGTTCCGTACAGCCAGAGGAACGTTCCATAGAGCCAGAGAAACGTTCCATAGAGCAGAGCCAGAGAAACGTTCCATAGAGCCAGAGGAACGTTCCATAGAGCCAGAGAAACGTTCCATAGAGCCAGAGGAACGTTCCATAGAGCCAGAGGAACGTTTCATAGAGCCAGAGGAATGTTCCATAGAGCAAGAGAAACGTTCCATAGAGCCAGAGGAACGTTCCGTACAGCCAGAGGAACGTTCCATAGAGCCAGAGGAACGTTCCGTAGAGCCAGAGGAACGTTCTGTACAGCCAGAGGAACGTTCCATAGAGCCAGAGAAACGTTCCATAGAGCAGAGCCAGAGAAACGTTCCATAGAGCCAGAGGAACGTTCCATAGAGCCAGAGAAACGTTCCATAGAGCCAGAGAAACGTTCCATAGAGCCAGAGGAACGTTCCATAGAGCCAGAGGAACGTTCCATAGAGCCAGAGAAACGTTCCATAGAGCCAGAGAAACGTTCCATAGAGCCAGAGGAACGTTCCATAGAGCCAGAGAAACGTTCCATAGAGCCAGAGAAACGTTCCATAGAGCCAGAGGAACGTTCCATAGAGCCAGAGAAACGTTCCATAGAGCCAGAGAAACGTTCCATAGAGCCAGAGGAACGTTCCATAGAGCCAGAGGAACGTTCCATAGAGCCAGAGGAACGTTCCATAGAGCCAGAGGAACGTTCCATAGAGCCAGAGGAACGTTCCTCATTCCGTTGAGCCAGAGGAACGTTTCTGATTGATGACTCTGTTTTCAGGCACACGGTTCCTGCTCAGATGTGGAGGGAGGCTCAGGGCAAAGATGGCCGCTGGTACGACTCCACATTAAACTTCGCCCGCCCTGTCATCCTCTATCTCCATGGAAACGCAGGGACCAGGGGGGGCGACCACCGGGTTCAGCTGTACAAGGTGAGTGGTGTTCATTGGCTGGAGGCGGTTCTGACAGATTCCGCAGCAAGGGCGTAGGTTTAATTTCAACTTTAGTAGTCACTAATGGTCTTTAGTTTCATTGGTCTGATGTCATCGGTCCTTTGCTAAAATATGCATGATCATTTTAACGCTTAATCTGAGCATCAGACACATTTAGTTTAAAGAGAACAGCAGCATTTCTGCTACATTAATACTAATCAGCACTACACTCACTAGATGCTGTTTATCAATGTTTGAAGCATCACTGGATCTGATCAATGTGGAATTAGGACTATTTTACACTTTGAAAAGGTTTGCATTTAAACTTACCAGCGACTAAAACAGAAGGTAAATACGGTCCTATTTAACCAAATATAGTCTAAATATGTTATATGTGGATTTATCCGGTGTTCTATGTAATGGGTTAGCTTCATCTGGATAATAGACAGATATAGCTGGGTATCATCAGCATAACAGTGGAAATTAATCCCATGCTGTCTAATAACTCTACCGATTGGGAGCATGTATACAGTAAAAAGAATTGGTCCTAGCACTGATCCCTGTGGTACTCCACAGGTAACCTTTGAGCATGAGGAAGATCTATCATTAACATGAACAAACTGAATTCTATCAGATAGATCAGATTTAAACCAGTCTAGAGCTGTTCCTTTAATTCCAACAACATATTCAAGTCTTTCTAAAAGAATATTATGGTCAACTGTATCAAATGCAGCACTAAGATCCAACAGGACGAGCACAGATACAAGTCCATTATCTGAGGCCATCAGAATATCATTAGTGACTTTCACCAGAGCTGTTTCAGTGCTATGATGATCCTGATGCTTCCTGAATAACGACCAAACCGCTTCATGCTGATGTCATCGCTCGCTCTCTCGTCTGATTTGCTGTGAGGAACCAGCTGACCTTTGACCTCTGTCCTTCTGCAGGTCCTCAGTTCGCTGGGATACCACGTGGTGACGTTTGACTACAGAGGTCAGAGGTCGTCTATCGGGACTGACGTCGGGTGCGAGGAGCTGCTTCAGCGTCTGACTTGTGGCTGTGTGTGCAGGTTGGGGCGATTCGGACGGAACGCCGTCGGAGCGAGGGATGACATCAGACGCTCTGTTCGTTTATGATTGGCTGAAACAGAGGATGGAGGAATCTGGACAGCTGTATATCTGGGGCCACTCTCTGGGGACCGGGTACCTCCCACACACAGTAACACCCAGCTGCTCCTCAGAGAGACACCAAATCACTCATGAGGCGTTCACTGACCCCTCGGTTAAATCAGATGTTTCTGTTTCAGAGTCGCCACTAATCTGGTGCGAAGGCTCTGTGACCGAGGTGAGACCCTCCCCCCACACACACACACCCCCACAGACTGAATCCTCCAATCACCTCCTCTCATCCTCTCTGCTCCCATCCAGGAAGTCCTCCAGACGCTCTGATCCTGGAGTCTCCGTTTACCAACATCAGAGAGGAGGCCAAGAGCCACCCGTTCTCCATGGTAACCACAGGCCCCGCCCAGCGTCAACTATTCCTTATTTCTGCACATTAATTATGTCTTTGATAAAAATCCTTTCACTAAAATGCCATCAGAACGCTGATAATATTAAGTGTGTCTCAGCCCCCCCCTTCAGTGTCCACCATATTGGATCAGTCCATTTGCTGCACATGTTCAGAAAGGTCCAAACAGACAGCAGCAAACCATTTGAAAACAAACCATGCAAAGAGCAGTGTTGCCAACTTAGCGCTTTAGTCGCTATATTTAGCCACTTTTCAGACCCCTCTAGCACTTTGATTTCTAAAAAGCTCCTAGCGCCAAATCTAGAGACTTTTTTCTGCTACTGGAGACTTTAGAGACAACATCTAAAAGCAGCGAACTCTGCTCTCCAGAGCGAGTAGATTGGTAACCCCGCCTCCTGCTCTCCTCTATCTTGTCTGCTGTCATGATTCATGCAGCTATTATTTCATCCAAATGAAAAATGGAGAACAGATAAGCAGATCATGGCTTGTCTACAGTGAAAAGAAGGACTGGGTTATTTACTTTGGCCTTTTTGGAAACACAGGAAGGAACAATCAGCTAAGTGAGCTTAGTGCTTGGAAAAAATCTTTCATTCCTTTAGAGACAGCATGAAAAGTCAGCTGAGTACAAAACATAGAGAGGAAAACAAGAAGAAAAGGGACAAGAAGAGAGGGACACAACCTAGAACAGAGAATGGATGTCTATTCTATTAATATTTCTCTATACGTAGAATGGGGCTGTTTTTATGTGTTGTCCTCTCAGAGGGGCCCCTGCCTGTCTTTGCCTGGGGCCCCACATTTCCTAAATCCGCCCCTGCTCTGTGTTCCAGGTGTACCGCTTCCTGCCCGGCTTCGACTGGTTCTTCTTGGACGCCATCTCTGCCAACAACATCCGCTTCGCCAGCGATGAGAAGTAAGTCTGCTCACTTCCTGTTTCAGGGAGAGACCAGGGATTGTCCCGCCCATCAGAACCTCCAGGACCTCATCAGAACCACAGCGTTCCAGGCTCCTTCAGAGCAGAACGTTCTGACCCGATAATATTTCAGTGAAACAATCTGAGGATCCACTCTGATGGATCTAAGAAGGTTAAATGAGCTCAATTAGCTTCTGTTGAACCAAAATATCAGATTTTAAGAACTTTGTTTCAATGATTTATTCTGAACATCACAGGAGCTTTAACCTGCTGGTTCTGATCCAGTTAGCGTCCTGTCAAACCTTCAGAACCAGCTGCCGGACGTTTAACCCAGTAGCCCCTGGTGGCTGCAGACGGAACTGCAGCTTCTAATGATTGTGTTTTTCAGTGTGGACCACATCTCCTGTCCGGTTCTGATCCTCCACGCTGAGGACGACAGCGTGGTTCCGTTCCACCTCGGGAAAAAGGTACGGGGCAAACCGTTCCCGGGTCAGAACTTAAACCCCCATTTGGCCCAAACGGGCCCGGTTCTGAGTCCTTTTCTCTGCCGTCCTGCAGCTCTACCACCTGGCGTCTCGGTCCCAGAGCCTCAGCGGACATAAAGTCCAGTTCGTGGCGTTTCCTTCGTCACTCGCCTACAAACACAAATTCATCTACAGGAGCCCGGAGCTGCCGAACATCCTCAGGTAGGAGCCGAGCTACGCCGGAGGTTCCGGTCCATCGGACCCCCCCCCCCGCTCTAACCGCTGTTCTGTTTGCAGTGACTTCCTTGGGGCGGCTCATCCTGTGGCGCCGTGAAATCGGACCGGCGTTCGCATCATCAGAACTGTTTATCACAGACTGAACATTCCTTTGCTACCATTCCCAGATCCCCTCCTGGTTACCATGGTGACCATGAACAGATGTGATGCTGAGGACGGTCGCTCTGCATCATCTTCATCACCTGCATGGTTTCTTCTTCTTCTTCTGATCACATGACGCGCCTGTCTGCAGGTCCACTCTGTCCGGAAACCTGCTGCTTTCAAACCTGTTTGACTTGAATTCAATATTAAAAGTTTGTTTTATGTAAACCTGCCTGAACTGTGGGTGACCAGCAGGGGGCGCCAGGAGCTGAATGGACCGGTTCCAGTTGAACCACAACAGAACCGAACTGAAGCGCCGGGAATCCGGATCAACGCCCTGAATGGACTCAATTACCCAGAAGGCATCTGTGATTTCCCCCTGAGAGCAACAGGCAGCTCTGCTCCTGATGATGGAGAAAGTTCTGGAGACATAGAAAAGATGCTGCCGGTTCTGCTCCTCTGGGCCCGTTTCAGGTGTTTGTTTCTGCTGAAATCCAGGATGTTTGGATCAGAACAGGAGGCCTGATCAATCAAAGGCAGGAAACATGATCCTCTGATCCTGACGGAGAACTTTACTCTGCAGCAGGACTCAATAAATATGACATTTAATGGTTAATAAAACATGATTAACACAAAAGCTTCCTACTGGAAAATAAAGTTTAAGATTAATTAACAGAAAATGAAAGTTTGAGCTTCTACAGTGTATGTTCCTGTTTCGCTGTGAGGACAGTCTGCTGGAGCTCGCCTCCTTTATGCCAACAGCTTCAGATCTTCTCTGGTCAGTGACTTAGAGCAGAGAAAGGGTTAAAATCAGTGGGTGGTCCTCACTATATATGGAAAACCAAGGAGTTTGTTTTGAACCAAAAGCTGATTAATAAGCAGGAAGTTGAGCCGCGGTTCTGAATACAGTGAAGGAAATAAGTGTTAGAAATCATGGAGGCTCTGAAATGATCATCATAGAGTCATAATCTACAAATCCAGAAATCACAATATATGATTTATTAACTATTTATTTGTATGATTCAGCTGCAAATTAGTATTTGAACACCTGAGGATATCAATGTTAATATTTGGGACAGTTGTAAGATGTTTATTCTCCTCCCCAGTAGGGGTGATAAATATCTTATTATTTCAGCTGTTATATATTGTTTATGACACACAGTCCTACTAACTGTATGTTAGAACAATAGATGAAAGAGTGATTCGAGCTCTAATCATGGTCAAACTGTTATTTCTGCACATACATGGAATAAATTCACCACAACTTCTGTTCAAAATATAAGATTTTAGTAAGTCAACATATTTCAGTTTAAAACTCTTAACTAAGACTAGTTAAACTGAACTAAACTAACTACTATGTACAAAGAGGAAGGGGAAAACGGCTGAAAAACATTTTACAGTTTAAAATGGTTTATGTGTTTGAAACCAAAGTTTATCTGGAATAATTTGGGATCTGATCAAATTAGCTTTTCACTAATTTAAAGAAATTTGAATGTTTTTCAGACCAATTCACAATGCAAATCCATGAGGTGAATAAAACATTATTGTTTTTTTAAATGATTTGCTTAACCAGGAACCAAAAACCTTTAGTTAAATGATTCTTTACCCTCTTTGAAATAGCTAGCAGCGAATAGACATCCGGATTCCACTAAATGACTCTTGGTCAGACTTGCTAATGGAAATGTAATGAGCATCTGAGGAACATATGAACACTAATGTTATATCAGTCTTTAACCGCTTAGTGAATAAAGGTTGTCTAAGCTTTAGCAACAGCTCAACACGTATTCCTGTAGCCTAGCGTAGCATGCAGTCCATCCTGTTAGCTTATCTTTACTCATCAGTAAACACATGTTTGTTCTGTCCAGACCTGCAAACCTTTTCTCCATGTCCAGTTGGGAAACTTGAGTTCCATCCAGCTTTTAGAGAGCAGCAGCCCTGTGGAACAGAACTTCACCTTCTACTCATTGTTAAGATGAAACATGGACATTTGCCCCCAATGTCCAAGACTTAATCATGGTTTATGTCCCAACAGACCAGTAGCCTTTGTTTGAAATTCCAGAGGTCAAATGTTTCCCTGTTTTTCACCATGTTTGCACTGCAGGAGGGATTTTGGCCCATTCCTGCTCACAGATCTTCTCTAGATCAGTCAGGTTTCTGGGCTGTCACTCCCTCCATAGATTCTCCATTGGGTTTAGGTTTTCCCATCATCTTTTCAAGCGTTTCCCAGTTTAAATCTCTCACTTCAAGGTTCTTTTCTGCAGCTTTCAGTATTACTTTGATTTTCTTTGTTATCTGAGCACTAAAGTTGGTGACTTCTACCATAAAAAGTATTCCATCTTTCTTATTGGTTCCTCTGCAGTGCTGCGTTTCTCCTCCAGAGGTTTAAACTTATTTCCTGAACTGCTGGTTTGGGTTTTTCTTACTGGGATTAGATTCTTTTTGCAGCTTCAGCAGAACTTATTCTGATCTCTTCAGATCTTTTGCTCACTTCACATCCTCCAAAAGCAGCAGAATGTTCTCCACCACAGTTACAGCATTTAATCTTTACTTCTTTCCCACATTTTCCATATTCCTGCTCTCCAGCAGACCTTCCACATCGTTGTTTTCCTTTCATCCAGCTGCTGTATGTCAGAATGTTTGACATGTAAAACATGTCGGAGGATCGGACAGTTTCACACTGAAGCTCATAATCCAATAAAAACCTTTCTGGATTACTGCTCTTCTTCCAGTTTGATCAACACTGATGAGCTGTCTTTATTGACTAAAGTACCACCATGCAGGATTTTGGTAATTTGGATGTTTTTGTTAACTGCAAAAGAGTCTCACTGATTAACTAGTTTGAATATGACTTTGTGATCATTTAGTTTTTCTAGATTCATTTAGAATTTCTAGATTGTTCTGAACTGGACTCCCGTTCAGTCGGTCTCTGCTTTTTCCATTTTTCTCATTTTTTGATTCGACTCTATTCAAATCTTCTTTGTTTACACTATTTTAGGGATTAAAGCAAAAAAAAAACTAAAAATAATTCTGAGCCTGAAATTTTTCAACACAGGAAAGATGCCGGGGGGGGGACCACAGATTGCATGAATGATTGAAGACTAAATGAGAATTTTGAAAATCCAATCCCACAAATGGCCAGTAGATGGCAGAAGTGCATCCATATCTACCGCTTGCATGAACCTCATTTCTTTGGATATCCAGTTTTGCTGCTGAGCGTTCCTGGAGCGCAGCAAGCAGCAGCAATCTCCTGGTTGACCTAACTTCCTGCTCCAGCTGCTAAAAGCCATCTGGCTCCGTCTCCTCCAGCCACGCCCAGCGCCATTAACCTATCAGACCTTTATCTATGGCGGTGGCATCTTCCCCAGAGTTTATGAACTGCATGGTTCCCAGTCCATGCCGTTCCGTTTCTTTATTTTTTTACTTTTAACTCGTCTCTCTGTTGAATGGAGTCTAAACGGCGTAAAGTGATTTTCCTTTCAGCACTGAACCACAATCTGGCGACTGGAGCAAGAAACAAGTGGAGGAGGGACTGATCTGTGATCCATGAGAAATGGAGGAATCTCATTTATTTATTTATTTAAAACCAACGTTTAAAAAATTCAACCAAAGTATTAAAAAGGATTTCTGAAAGTTCTGGTCTGGAGACGGAACGGTTCTGATCCAAGATCAGACCTGATTGGACTGACCTGGTGTCTGAGCTCAACCACCATCAGATCCAGAACCTGCTCTGGGTTCTGATTGGACAGCAGGGTCCTGGAGGAGTCCAAAATGTTCTGGAAGGTTCTGATGGAAGCGGGTCTGAGGACATCAGCTTCATGAAACGGACCGGTTCTGGAACCGGAGAGCCCATCGGACCCAACGAGGTTCTGCTTCCACAGAATAGAAGCTAAAAACTTTCTACAAACAACAAAAAAAATTTTATTCAAACATGATCAGAACCTTTATCTCTTATTCTGCAGGCTGACCCGGTTCTGAAAGGATCAGAACCTCCTGGTCTGGGTCAAACCCACGGTCCTGCTGAAGCTGCCTGATCCCTAAAACTGTTTCCGGAACCAGAGGTCCGGGTCCTTGCAGAACAACCCGGGCCCGGTTCTTCAGTTCTGAGACCCGACAGGCGGCTGGTTGGGGGGCGGGATCTTAAAGGCTGACGGTTCTATGCCCCAGATCTCCCGGGCGTACTGGGAGATGGTTCTGTCGCTGGAGAACTTCCCCGAGGCGGCGATGTTCCTGATCACCATCCGGGTCCATTCTCTGGGGTTCTGGAGGAGAGAGATGCGGGTCAGAGCAGAACTTTGGGTCCAGCTAACGGTGGAGGAGTCGGGCTCACCGTGTAGAACCGCTCCACTTTCTGCTGACTCCTCAGGTAGGACTCATAGTCGGCAAACACCTTGAACCTGCAGAGCAGACGGAACCTCAGAACCAGAACCAGAACCCCCCCTCAGAAGCTCCCTCTCACCTGTCGTGGTGCAGCAGCATCTCCATCACTCCATGGAACAGTTCTGGTTCTGCGGGACTGAAGAACCCGGTCCGGATCTGGTCCACCGCCAGTTTCAGCTCCGGCAGACGGTTGTAGAACTCTGAGGCGTCGTAGCTGCAGGAAACAGGAAGTGATGTCATTTATTAGCGGCAGGTGTTCTGATCCAGACCGGTTCTGTGTTAGGGAACCGTCTGGTCCGGTAAATAAAGGTACGGTTCTGGCTCCGTTTTAATCTGAAGGATTCTGGTTCTGATCCAGAAGGACGGATCAAAGCTGCAGTTTCAGATTGCCCCTGAAGGCAGCGCGGCCTCACCCTCTCTGGTCCAGCTCCTTCACGTCCTCCACCCTCATCCCGAAGATGAAGAGGTTCTCCTCGCCGGCCTCCTGGGCCATCTCCACGTTGGCGCCGTCCATGGTGCCGATGGTCAGGGCGCCGTTCAGCATGAACTTCATGTTTCCTGTTCCTGATGCTTCGGTTCCAGCGGTGGAGATCTGCTCCGACAGGTCAGCAGCGGGGATCACTGCGGGGAGAGCAGCCGGTCAGGCGGCGAATGCGTGGGAACGGGTCCTAAGGTGGACGTCATGAGGCTCACCTCGCTCTGCCAGAGACACCCTGTAGTTCTCCAAGAAGATCAGCTTCAGCTTGTCTCCCACCGCCGGGTCGTTATTGACCACCTCACCCACCGCAGTGATCAGCTTGATGATCATCTTGGCCATGTGGTACCCAGGAGCCGCCTGCAGGGGGCAGAGCAGCCGATTTAACACCTGACTTGACGGAGCGGCTCGCTCACAGGGGGCGGAGTCACATGTTTCACCTTCCCTCCGATGATCACCGTCCTGGGAACGAACGCTCGGTCCGGATGGAGCTTGATTCCTGGAGGCAGAGAGCAGCAGTGATGCAGTGAGTCCAGCAGGGGGCAGCAGACAAACACCAGCTTCTAATGTTTCCCAACGGAAGCTAAATTTCCCCGATCCGATCTAAACCTCCGTGTCCATGGAAACCAACTAAATCGATCTGATTCTGAACAGAACGTTTGACCAGATTCAAGATTTTTATGAGCAGAACTGGAAACGCTTTATTAGCAGCAGAAGAAGAAGAAGGCGTCTGTTCCGTAAACAAACCCGAACGTCTCCGCTCCTCATTTCTTCCTGCTCCTCCTCTTTCTGTCCCTTCGGTTCTCCAGTCCTGCTGATGATGTCATTTCCTC